ACTACTAATATAATAAGTATATTTATAAGTAAAAGTTTTAAAGTATATTTATTTTAAAGCTAATATATTATAGGAAATAATATACTTATAGTATATCTTAATATCTTAAGAAAAGAAAAAGCTTATAAATAGTTTTAATATTAAATATTTTATTTTTTAAGTTACTAGACATAATAATAAAATAAAAATAAATATTATATAAATAAGCTTTATAAAGAAATATAAGCTAAAAAAAGATAGCTATATATAATACTTTAGCTTAACTTAGAAAATTATTAATAATAAATAAAGCTTCTAGTAATTTAAGAAATAAGCTTTACTTAGTAAAATTATAAGAGGTTAACTAGCAAATAATAATAATAAATAATTATTATAAAAGTTAATTATATAAAAAAGATTAAAACTATATATTATAATAAAAGTATTATTAATAAAAAAGTAATAATATAAATATTTTATTATAAAACTTAAAAAAACTATAATTAAGTTAATTTAAGTTTTAATCTAACTAATACCTATATACTATAAATTATAAATATAGTATATTTAGTAATAATATATAAATAAGTTTATAAGTTTAATTTAGAAGTATTTTTAAATATTTAAAATTAAATTAAATTTAACTTTTTAATAAAATCTAATTATTTATTTAAGTTACTTAAAAATAGCTATTTATATATATATAATAATATACTTAAAAATAGTATTAATAGCGCTATATATAATAATACTACTAAGAGAGAATTATAACTATATAAGTTATACTAGAGAGCGCTATATCTATTAGCACTTTAATATAAGATCTATTTATAAGAAAAGTATTACTAGCTATAGCGCTCCCTAGCGCAGCCTATATAGTCTATTAAAGTTTATAAATAAGGGCTTCGTTTTTTAAATTAAGTAGTAATAAGCTTTTTAGGTTTTTTAGTATATAGTCTATGTTGTTAGATATACAATTATAAAGCATAGTAATTATAATTAAAAAAATTAAAAAAAAAGGTTACGATAAAACGCGTCGGAAATTAGGTCGGATTTAAGGCACCTAGCAGCCGATGGGATAGTAATACTTCTGTTCAAGAGCTGCGATCTTCTCGACTTTCTCACGACTGTAAATACGTTGGATTTTTGCTCTTCGTTGCGATTCGTGATTAGTCAGGGGCGTCAATAAAAGACTAGATTTTTGAGGAGAGAAGCCAGGAGAGGCACAGGTCTCGAAAAGTAGCATTTTTGCATGACCATGATGGAGCGGGGGTGACGGACTTACAACATTTCAGTCTTGTTGATGTTCTTGTTTTTTTGTCGAGGCACCCACTGCAAGTTGCCACTGCTGTGTACGCTCTGGAATTCCCCTTCATGCCGTGCATAAGCTTGCAACAATGAACACCGAGCTCTCCGCACGCCACGCGTTGTTGCACGCTAAATACTAGGATCTCCTCAGGCAAGTAGAATCATGTAAACACGCCTCGAAAACTCGGAGATCATTGGGCAGGAGACACTATTCACCACCCTATTCACTCTCATCGACAGCTTTTTAGCCTTTGGCGAGACTATCAACATGATAGGCAACGCGCTGGAACAGGCAAAGGGGCGCTTCTTGGACTATTCCGATTTAGGAAGACCATTCGACAGCTGAAGGGGCGGAGAGTGACCTCGAAGTCCAGGTAAAGGTTCATAAAGGTGCCCAGACCTATGTTAGTAATGGAAGAAAGAGGTTTTGGAGAGAATAGTAATGCCGGATGTTGTGCAGAACTAGAAAAGTACAAGGAGGCAGCGGTGGTAGCAGATTCTGCAAGATTGAGGGCCTTTGAGTAGCCATGGCAGAGTGAAGGCGAGAGGGTTCGAACATTAATTCGAAGACAGTGAGTCGCCAGAGCTTCTACTATTGAGATCATCGATGTCATTCGGAAGAGTATAAAGACCAGTTTGCCCCAGTGCGAACGAGGTTGTTTTTTTCATGATTGGATTTTCTTGGTATAAAAATGAGAAAGATACATAAGTATCAGTCATTTGAAAGGCTGTGCGAGCCTCATCCGCTTGAAAATCGAAAAGCCTCCTCACTGCCGGTCTCTTTGGCATGACCCCGCCAACCACGTCTCGCTCTCCCTCCACTTCCACGCTCAAGACGCCATGCCTTGTCCCTCCGCCCTTGCCCGTGGAGCCGTCGACACTGCTCTTGCAGCAACAGGAGGAGTCACCGCGCCCGGAGGCGCGATTGGAGGCGATGGATGGTAAGCTGAAGAAGGAGAAGGAGGAGAAGGAAGGGGCGAAGATGGAGGAGATAGAGGCTTGGGTGAGTTTGGTTATGGTGTAACGAGTGAGCGTCGCCGTATTTTGGATAAGAACGGAGGTGGAAGGGGGGAAGTATGGCCGCAATAGCTCTCTCTTCATGACTGGGGCACATAATTATGAGTCAACATGTACAAGGATGCGACGCTTCAGTGTCCACTCTAAATCGCGTTTATCTCTTCGGCCAAACAACTATGTTTATCAGAGATCGCGCGACAGTATTCCGTGGCTGCTAAAACTGCTGCGCCTAAACAGTGCGACAAGATTTGAAACCACCCTTGAGATAGATAACAGGAGCCGACATCACTTGAGCAAACCAGCCAGTGCTCCCCTTTGGCACCGCGACGGAACCATAATCTCGGCTCTGAATGCAGAAGAGAATGTGGCAGGATGCGGAAAACGTTTGCACAAAACATCGACGCCCGAAGCTATAAGTCAAAATCTCTGTCCAATTCTTGCTCTTGGTTAGGGAGTCACGAACCTTCCTTTCTCGCTCTCTTAGTGCTGAAGTCGATCGCAGAAGCTGCACTTTTCTAGCGACATGGAAAACGAAGGCCCAAGGCTACATGTCAGTAGCAGTGGGCTGTCTCTGTGTCACTGCAGACTTTATGCCTATGGACAGTAGTGATACACAAGGAAATTGCATTACGATGATGTTCGCCTATCGCAATGTTCTGCCACCTCGTGGAGAGAAGCAGGAATAATAGCTCCGCCTCGAAACGGCTTGCGAAAGAACGCCTACTTTGCTAGAGCCTAGAGCATTTTTCATTCGTTAGCAAGATTGAAGGTTAATTTTCTAGAAGATTAAGAGGCTTTACCAATATATGCGATTGGCCTGTAGGCTCATCCAGTCTCTCCATCTCTACTTGTCCGGCGAAGTCGTTGAGGTGGCACTCCCTACTACTGCGTTTGGAAGACGCGAATATCAAGGCGAATACCTTGATTTCCAATCCTCGAAGAAATGCAAGGTCAGACGCAGCAGCATGAATGTTCAAGAGTAGTGTCATTCGCAGGAACTTTCTACTGTGCTGGTCATTCACCCAGTAGTATGACTGCCTCAACAAATCCAAGCTAGAATAAACGCGTTTGTTCTAGGTTTGTTCCGCCCGATATAGCACCGCCGGCGGCATTAAGACAACTGCACGCTTCATTCTTATGACATTGAGTCATGCCGGCTTGCATGATTGGCCTCTAGCCTCTTACAGCCTTCTCGCCTATGTCTTCTCTTGCATAGCGCCTTCTGTCAGAGGTTAACCGAGCCATATTTCGCTCAGTTCGACCATATGCCACCCATACATGTTCTGTAATGCCTTTTGCTATCATTTATCATTGATGTATACTGTATGCATGCTGTGCGGGCGCAGAGGGAGCGCGATGGATTGAGGATCTTTCTTGCGTCGGGCTTGGTTCGATTTGGGGGAGGAACGCAATCTGTCGGTAATGTATGTATTGATGACCAGATGTGCATTATGAAACTCCAGCAACAAGGCTGTTCGCCCTGCAAGTCATGAGGGAGGAGGTGATTGTGGTGTTAATATCAATGCGTTTGAAATTGTCGACGATGAAGACCAACCTCTTCGCCCGGCTAGAATATCTCTGCGATCCTGGTTTCCTTGCAATTCTCGCCGACTTGAGGATGGGTTTGAAGGTCTCTCGTCTTCAATATCCAGGTCCTCCTCAATACAGCTCGACGCAGAGGAGCGAGAACAATTGGGTCGCATCGGGTTTGGTGGTGTAGGCGTTGGAGGGCATTTGCAATGAGGGGAGTTGTGGCCGTTCTCGAGACTTGGCATCTGAACGGTGTCATCGTTGCATAGACTAGTGCTTGAATATTGATGATCGTGGTGGATCGTATTAGGCCCATCTCGTTGCTCAATCACTTGTAGTTGATCTTAAAGTGACTTGCGCAACGAGTTCTCCGAGTTCCAAGGACGGCATCCTCGATTAACCATCGATGTTTGACTGGAAAACTTTATATCTACCTCCTTCTTTAGCTCAAGTTGTGAATGAACTAATGTTGTCGAGTGCGTAACCAAGATACACTGGCTTCTTCCTCCTCGTTGGTTGCCCTTGCCGCCTTCCTCACAGGGGATTTGCCGCAGATCTCCTCCCATCCAACCTGCCGCTCCGAAACCTCAACCCCTTTTTCAGGCAAGTAATTTGTACTGCGCTCAAATCCTACAAACCCTTTCGTTACCACTGTTTTCTTCTCACCTCACTGCTCGCGGCCATCTTTTGCGCCTGCATATTCCGCTGTCTCAGCCTTCTCGATGTTGGTCTTGGTAGTCATTTATAGTTCTTTTTATTATCTGAGTAACCGTGTACCTGTCCACAGTCCCTTGATTCTCAGAGAAGAAGACTGAACGACGGACAAATTCAGAATTCGCGAGGGCATGCTGCTATCTTCGTACCCATTGGAGATTGACCAATGATGATGTAGGCTATTCTTTGGTCTGAATGAAGTGAGCACTACTCTGTCATTATCTCACAGCATCTTTATTCTGCGGCAATGATGCTATACTAGCAGCATTCTTTGTGTAATTGAGCTTTCCATTACGGAGACCAAGGCAAAGCCTTGGCAGGGTCCAATCTCTTATCTTATCGAAAAAGCTTGGCGCGTTGTCCCACCTCGAAATCCTGTCGTAGAGATAAACAAACGTCTTCAACAACTCCAATCCATCACACATTGACCATTCGCACGTCCGGCTATAGGTATGCGACGTCGCTCAGACGGCTCTGATTCCCTCCTTCTACCCACTCCTCCGCTTTCGGCTCCCCTGTCTGAGTCCTTCGGCTCCTCCACTGGCATTGAAGCCTGGCTCAATAATATCTATACATCGCAACATTCCCGCACTTTGAAGCGAAAGCACCAGCAATTCTGCCCGTCTCAATCTCAAGGTAGTCCAAAGCGGGTTCGGAGAAGCGCTCGCATCGCAAAAGCCGGCCAGAAAGGCTTCGCGATGCCACCAAGAATCAATGAGCTCAAAGTATGTCATTCCCGCACAAACGCATTGCACTCTCCGTCATGTATGCTGACGGTATGGCAGGATGCTGCTAGTATCCCTGTGACCCCTCCTCAATCAAGCCTACACGATGGCAGCCTCCGTTCTCGCGCCCCTACCTTACCTACGTCACATAGCACCGGCATTACTACAGACCCCACCGAAATCCGCCAACGGCTGCAAAATCACCACATGTACCAGAGCCCTGGCCGCTTGGAAAAGCTGCACAATGACTCTTATAAAATGATTAAAGAGAAGATCACTCGGGTCCTAGACATCGAAATGGGTCAGCAATCTATTGAGCGTTTTACAAGGATTTATAACAAATATCACGGACTCGATGAGGACTCGTATCTTGCCGCAATCTTGCCCCTTTTGGCTCCTCAGCAGAGAAAGGTGCTAGACGTACCTGGAGAGCAGGAAGTCTGGGGGGACGCTGGAGCTGGGCCTCTCCATCCCGGGCGAAAGTACAAGCTGAAGGATTGGGACGAGGATGGTGTGATAATGGCTGTCAACAAGCAATACAAAGACGGCTTTGTCCCCTACTGCGGCGACGAGGCCTTGGCGAAGGAGATGAAAAAGGAAGATGGAATTACGAACCCCAAGCCGGATCGTGTGTTTGGCCTCGAAGAAGCTCTTTTTGAATTGCCAAAAGGCTACAGGCTGTACGACGACATGGCATGGCTATTGACTATGATTGCCGGAGTCTTCCACGCATTCTTTCTGATCGAGGGAAAAAGCAATAAGGGTCTTATGGACATAGCCAAGAACCAAGCCTGCAGAGCAGCAGCGACCCTCATCTTCCAGCTACGTCTGTTTCTCGACGCGATTGAGGTCCCAGACATCGAAAAAGGCTTGGATAAACGAACATATATCTTTTCAATGACTCTCGACGCAAATTTCGCTATAATCTGGATCCATTACGCCGATAAACAGGACGATGGAACCATCCATTACTATATGGAGAGGATAGCCCACGGCATGATAGAATCTGAAGAAGATGTGATCAAAATACAACGATGCATCAACAATATACAAAGCTGGGGCTCTGTTGAGCGCAAGAACGAAATCCTCCAATACCACAAGAACTATCTCCATCCGCATCTTAAGGCTGTCCAAGCCGGACGCGTTGCTAAGAAGAAATTCGAACACGAGACGCTGGCAGCCGAAAAAGCGTCCGTTGCAGAACAAAGAGCAGCTGAAAAGCAGGCCAAGGCCGCCGAGAAGAAGACGTTGGCAGAAGCAAAGAAGGCGGAAACGAGGAAGAAACCACAGCCACCAGCCCCTTCGACGAGGAAGGGATTACGTTCCCAGGCAAAGAGAAAAAACAGGAATGACACAATAGCGGTAATGACGACACGACCAGTATGCAAGACATGATACTACTGAATATAAACGGAGCGAAGGCGCCTGCAAAGGCCACAATCTGTAATAGAGGGAAGAAAAGGCTTGCATCTCTTGCAATCTGCCTGGAGAACACTGTGTATGCAAAGAATATGCCTGTGAACTTGTGAAGATAGATGGATCAAGGGCTTTTATAGGATCTAGCTAGACTAAAGTTTAGTTGGCTAAGAGCTTATTTCGCCAATTTCCTCTCCAGGTCCTCTCTCTGATACCTTCTGCTATGCCAATCCTCGTAGTGGAGCTAGTATCCCTCTATGTATCAAGCTTTGACGAAGAGGAACTGACTGAAGAGCAGCCTAAAGTGGGGGTACTAACGAAATTTAATTGGAGCCGCGAGGACGGGAACGACCAGTTGATTAGCAGCCCAGAATACGTCGAAGACGCCTGCGATCGAGATCTCTAGCGCTTTTGGACTGATTAAATCGACATCTACTTCTGTCAGCGTGCCGATGGCAAGGATCTCATTGAAAAGACTGTGAAATCCATGGTCAGATTGAAGGCGTGAGCTTTTCCACGCTTGACAACAATTTGCTTAGGTGAGAGTCTTTAAAACTAGCTTGCAGAGTCGGGAACATTAGGTACCTAGGCATGAGCCAGTGCTCAGCAGATATGCTTCGTCGAGGCCATGCATTTCACCCCATCATTGCAGTCCAGATCGAACATGGCCTCTATTGCCTCGACTGCGGAGTAAAATGGCCTCCGCGACGCTGCTGTGGAGCTGGGCATAACATTAATCTTATACGGACCCTTTGGACGCGGGTATGGCACGCAATCCTTCAATTCCCCCGAATCATTGATTGCTGCTGATATCTACCCACACGCGTAAGTAGTGGCCCTTAAAAGCCTGATGACGGTTATTACTAATCGCTGCGCAGCAATTCCAAAGCATTATTCGCAGACACGCCACCTATGACGACCATCGAACAGCTGGAGAGCCCGGAAGACCTATATCTCACCTAGACTTTAGGAGTGACAAAGTTGCGGCGAGGCTGCCGATGACTGCACGACCTCGATATAAAAGGGGGAACTTGAACCTCCCAGGTAGATGACCTTGTCCACATTCGCGTCGGTAGAAAATACTTAGGTATTTTCTACAAATATCTATTATCTACTATCTAAACCCCTATTTCACGATATAGACAAATCTCTCCGCGATTTGTGTGTTCTTCGTCTATTCTCACTGGTTATTTCGCAGTCTTTTCAATGAGAATGCAACCCTCCCCAATCGCACAAGAAGATTCAAAAATTGAATAGGAGGTGCTTTCAGATGGTGTAGCGTCCCTCTCAAACCTAATAGTAGCCAAGACGAGGCATTATTGAGACGGTGTTATCTTTTTATCAAGCCAAACTTTGACTAATAGTCACAATCAGTACGACATGCCATGTGTCTCATGTCGGCTATCAAGCAAAGCCGAATCGGCAAGCCGTTCTACTGCCGACCGGTTGTGTTACGGCTTTCGTTTTCACTTTCATTAGACAAATTTGGACTGCTGGTGCAATTTCCAATGACTTTCGTGCTTATCTCATGGCATAGACAAGTCGCCCTGAACTAAACCACCTTTCCCTCCCCGACATTTAAGTCTTCCATCTCAGTCAAGGCTCTTGATTAGGCGACTTAATGGCCACATCCGTGTCTTCGGGGCAGGACTTCGCATCCGATCAAGCCAATAACCTCCCTCACGCCGTTCTCGTGGGCTTCTCTGGCCCCTCCTCCGCCGGCAAAACTACCTTTTCCCATCTCACTAGCTACGTCTTCGCCGCTCGTATCGCTCGCATCCTCTACGGAGACGATTTCCGTAAAGAGCTGGGCCTGATATCAACGGTGAATGGCTATATCGATACAGATGGCATCTACGGCGTCGATTTCAAGCAGGTGGTCTATATCCTTTGACATGTCAAAGCTCACAACGGCACGGCTCCCAAGGCTTTTTAAAGCTGGCAGCAGGGGTGGTAGCCAGATCAGGAAGGGCGGGCTCTGAAGATGGTACCCCGCCAGGCGTTGGCGGAGGTGAGAAACAGAGTTGAGACTCAATGACCATCGCTTAGAAAGGACTTTAAGATTATCATCATCGAGGGCTTTTCACTGTTCCCGGTGTCCGATATGAGCCAACGATGAACGCCCGTATGCTACTTCGCGTAAATTACAAGGAGGCAACACGGAGGAGGATAGCAAGGCCGCGCTACGGGGCAGATGCAGAACCGGGCGAACTCTGGAAGATGGAAGACTGTCTTAGCGAGTGGCTTTCAGATCCTTCCTTCGTGTCTACAAAGAAGACTGAATCTTGTCACTGATATCGGAAAATCATCCCAGACAAAGTAGTATGAAGGAATCATGTCGAGCATTAGCAAGATGTTTTCTATGAGATTCAACGTAGAAGGAAATGTCGACCAAGGAATCGTGAGCCAGCGTAGAATCGTCGTCCTAGATGGATTGAACGTGGATATGACACGAAGCTTGGAGTAGTCGGTGGATATGGTATTGAAGTCACTGAAGATGTCACAATAGGCCTCATCCCTCTTCAGCCCTCCATTTATCACTCTATGCCCCATCTCCTTTCCATCCCATCCCCGTCATCTCTGAGCCCCTTTACGAGCTCTAAAGCTTGGAAAATTTAGACGTATGACTCCCGCAACCCCCCAGCTGATTCAGTCTTGGCTCTTTACCACACCCCCATAGGAAGCTAAATGATCAACTACCGCGACTCTGAGATGACTGATGAAGTGGATGACTCCCCAAATACCAGGTCCACTATGTCGGACCTAAAAAATGATGATAATGAAGACCTCTCGAGTACCATAAGCACACCTGATCTCCCCAAACAAGATGCGAGATGGCTATTAATCATTGGCTTGGGTCCTTGCAGTCTTGAGATCCTCACGGACGGCGCCATCATCACTATAAGTACCCCTTCCATCTCAGCTGAGCTCGACCTCAATGGTCACCTGGGATGGAGCAGCGGGGCCTTCTTATTTCTAGCCTGTGTTGCGCAGCCCATATGTGGCCGAATCTACCCTCTCGTTGACGACACGGGGAGCTTGCTGTTCAGCATTATGTTGTATCACCTCCGGACACTCTATTATGCGATGGCACCAACCTTGGTCGTCTTCAATCTTGGAAGGGCGGTCTTCGGGTTGGGAGCTGCCATATCAGCTATCTTGCCGCCGGCCTTGAGTCTGACAGCAGCTCACTCGCTGTTGGGTCCGCGGAACTTATTTGGGATTTTGATACTATGATGTCATCACTGCCGTTCTGTTTTTCACGTGCTTTCGCGACAAGACTAATTAAGTGCGTGTGATCCTATGTCTATCTAATCTCTATCTGGGGCGGAGAGATTTCGGAGAGGACACTAAGTCTTGGCGCCATCTGAGCATGGAAAGAGATTTCGGAGATGTCACGTCTTATGAGATTTTGGAGCAAAGAAAAGCTCGCATCGATCATGGAGCCCAAAATCATTACTCGAGGCGACTTGGTTTAGAATGAATATGTTATAAAGGGTCGCGCCTCGGCACCAACACATTCGGGTCAGTCGCCTAGCTCGAAACATGTTGGAGAGGAGCCCCTCCCAAGTCCCTCATGGAGGGGGATTTCGAGACCTACTTACCTGAGTTGAAGCATCTGTAGATAACACTCGCTTAATCTATACCCCTGCAAAGACTCTAATATGCGTATTGACGGCTTCCACCTGCCAACACGCTTAGAGGATTCAACCAACCACTAGGGTAAAAAGAAGATGATATTTCTGTGCCATGAAAGGAAAGACGCAAGTGCCGGGCTATGTAGCACCGTGACAAAGATTAGCAAATCCCCTCTCGCCCTCGCTCCACGACCAGACGAAGAGCCACCGCATAAACATTGCGACTGCGATGAGCTCGCAGGACCAACTCCTTAACTTTGAATGACAAAATATGCACCAAGGCAAAGTGATTTTATTCGCAGCGATAATCGCCCACGTCAACGCCGATCTCACCTGCCTAGCCTGGGGTCTCATAGTCTCAGTCGTCGGGCTTATCTGCCACATCGCACCGGACCGATTCCACGCGGCGGAGAACGCCACGATCTCCGACATCACGAATACTGTACATGAAGCAAAAATTGCCGCTGGCGAGCTACTAGATTTTGATCTCACGCACAACCCCGTTGCGGTTGGTTTTACTTTTACAGAGCTAGCCGTACAAAATAGGACGGGGGTGGCGGACGATTATCTTGCGAAGACGGCGGGAGATTTCATGGATGTGGGCATTGGGATTGTGAATGAGACAAAGCATCAGATTGTGCAGATATATGATATGGCCAATTGGAATGATGTGTCGATTTGTTTGATCAGAGGTGGTGTGGACCTTGCGAGGAAAGCAACTGCGACTGCGAGGATGAGCAGACGAGCTCTTTCTCTCAATCAAGCGGTTGAGGTCGCGAAAAGTTGTACGGACGCGAAGGTTGACAAGATACTGCATCCTGCTGTATTGAACTTCACCGGTATACGACCCATACCCTAACCCGGCACATTCGCAGGTCCGGAATGCCTTGCTGACGAAAGCCTAAGATCCCAACCAGAAAGTCGGCAAGACAATATCGGACGTGGCAGGTCTCTTCGCACCTGTGGGCGTAGAAGCAGAAGCTGGCGCTGCCGCAAAAGCGGAATTTGATCTTGCGATCTATGGCAGTGAAGACACAACACGGATCGCCAAAGCCGTCGACAGCCCTGGAACCGGAGCCACTCATTTTGCGAGCCAGCAGGAAGCCGAGGCCGTGGCAGAGAAGCTCCAAGATCCATCATGGCCAAAAGCCAATTGTCGTACCTGTGCAACAGCAAGTACGGGGGATTTCAGCCTTGGGAAGACTCCGGCACGCCGCCGCCGACGCCTTTCTCGCCGCGCTGGCACCACCTTTTCGTTCTGTTGTCGCGTTCCACCGATGCCGGAGATCGGCACCGATACATCAACTCTTTTGGAACAAGCCACAGAGGACTCCTACACCCCGGACCCAGGATCCATCGATCCCAAAGACGTCCCGCCATCGCAGTCTCGCGCCATCTACGACACAAGTAAACCGATCAAATACATCCCCGAAACCGACCTCGTCAAACCCCCTGCTCTCCTCGCACACGATCTGGAAGCAGACGGCGCGGAGGCAGCTCAGGGCCTGAAAACCGACTTGTCCAGCTACGATGTCGGCCTGATCCCTTTCAGCAAAGCGGCGCAATCAACAGGCATGGGTAGCGCGAAGGACATGTTCGCCACGCTCCGCAAAGCATTCACATCTGGACCGGGCGACGCCCTGTACGATGGGATGCGCGTGACGCAAAAAGACGGTACCGACCGACTCGTGGCTTCGAGCTTCAACTTCGCCCCAAGCGCGGATGTCGTGAAACCGCTACGCGCCTTCGCGGACGCCGCGCTCGAGGACGGCAAAGCTGCCATTTCGGCGCTCATCCCTGACCGCTTCACGTCTGACAATTTGCTGGGGCAGGTGGAGTTCTTTTGGATCCCGCCGTCTGAGAAGGCGGGACAAGGGGTTGATGTTAGGGGGCTGCATTTTGATGGCGGGATTATGCAGTTTGCGGCTGCAGATCGCGAGGGGCTTGTTGTGATGAGTTCGAGGACGGGCGAGGCGAGTAGGATGCCCCTTGCTGATGAGGGAGGGGTGGAGAGCTGGGCTTGCATGAAGGCTAGTGGGTATGGTATTCTGACGGGCGAGCAGGTGACTCTGCATGCCGTTTATGGACCTGATATTGTGAGGGACGGACGCGTCAGTGTGGTTGTTAGTATTGGCCCGATGTATCTTGAGGACACGGTGCCCTGAGCTTTTTCAGCCTACTTTCAGAAGGCAGGCGGTCCTGGAGAGAGAATCCTGCTTTATTGGGTTGGAGCCTCCCTTCTTCCCCCAGTCCTACTTGTCAGTGCCATAAAAGCCTTAAGTATCATGTAAGCAGCTCCTGGAATCTGGTATGACTGCCCCAGCATTTAGATGTTGTCAATAATGCGACGAATGCGGGGTCCGCGAGTTCATTTCACAAATCTCGTAAGCAACGACGCTCATAAAGTATCCCACTGTTCTATCTGGCTTCATTACAGCGTAGTACATCTATATGAACACCATCTCCGAGTCAATTGTCTTCGAGAATATGTTCGTATAGTCGTCGAAGCCTACAACGTTGGGCTCTCTAATCTTAATAAAAAGATTACGAAATCCGTCGATGATAGAGGCATATTTACGCTGTGCCTGCACTTTCGCTTTAGCAGGTTTATTATTGCGAATTTTCCCTTTGATAATGGAGAAAATATGCTAGATGTTCTCAGGGATTAAAGTATGAATTGGGGGACAATATGATGCCTACAAGCAGGGTGAATCTGCTTGGATGCAGGCCGAGGGCGCGATCCGATTGAGCGTCGGTTATTACTTCTTCTTTCATCGTCTGCTTTATGAGCTTTTTGTCATCCGCTGTGCCCCTTAGGAGGAAGCAGGCCCTAAACAGTTCGTTTACGGTAACAACAATGCCGTCTTCACTCTAGAATTTGAGAACCTAGCGTACACTAGTGCGATCATCGATCACCTTATCTTCCGTCTTTCGCGTTCGTACATTGGTCTCTTTCTCCGTACTATCTTGTCAGGAGTCGCTTATTCACGCAGTCTGCACCAGTCGAGCGCTCCGACCAACCTTTCTCCAAAAATCTGATCAGCTTAATGATTAATGCAACTATGTTGTATCCAATAGAAATAAACCTATGCAAAGCCGACGCTAGATGGCAAGGGCTAGTAATATGGTCCCTTCATGCACTGATCAAAAGCTTCTGGAGACGAGCAAACGCCAATGGGATGTGCGTGAGGTGTTAGAGGAGGATTGTTGAGGTTAATTGAGAATATGATTGAATTTCTCTCACACTAGGCCTAAGTCCGCATTAACTCCGAAGCAGACCAGAATTGTTTCGTTTTGGGGCTAGTGCATGCGGGAGCTTCCGCGATACCCCTCCAATGCTTGGCAAACATCAACATGGAAACTTTTCATGTCGTACAACAAATTGTGAGCCTATTGACACTTCTTAATCACCTACTATTACGACAGAGCCCTTATGCTCCCATCTTTAGTCGTTTTAGACCTCTAGGTTTGTTCCAAAACTTAGAGTCATAACGTGGCAAGCCAAACGTCGTCGCGCTCACGAGGAATACATTGCATGAAATTGCGACAGCTAGCAATACGTCAAATTTTTACTAATCTCTCCTCTAATATCCAACGAGCTTTTCAAGCGACACTAAAAAGACATCGAAAAGCTAGTCAACCACCACATAAGAGACGGAAGACAATAGACAACCTTGCGAAGCCTAAACGTCGCGGTCGACGAACGAAGCAAAAGCTAAAAGCTATTCGTCAAGCTGCCAAGCATGCGCAAGCCAGCGAGAGCCTATTTAAAGCTATACCCAAGCTGCATCCTTCTAACACTTTACGACCCTCCTCCCCTCGCAAGACTTTATCTCCATCAAAAAAAGAGAATAGGCCCAAAGCGTTGAGTAGCCTTTTAAATCGAATTACTTGAAATTTTATTATCTGGCTTTTTGTAAGCCCTCGGTTGATACGTATACTATAACAAAGCTTCGGCAAGCGGGTGAAGTCCCTAAAGCTATAAAAGACCTATATAATAGGCTATAATCAATGCCAGCAAGTGCGATTCCGCGCTAATTAAAGGAAAAGTTTGAGGAAGATGTCGATATATTAAGGAAGAGTCGTAAGGCACCAAATAAATCGGAATATATGAAAAATGATTCTCCGCTCCCTATCTCGGCAGAGAAGCTCCGCATCTTCAAAGAAAAAGTCGACTTTTATGTATAAGAAGCAAGATTAAACGCAGATATGGACGCGTTGGAACGCCAGTGGGGCAGCATAGTATCTAGCTTCTTGATAGAGTTCATGATGTGGCTATATAATTATAAATAGAAGTGCAAAGTGAGGAATATATGCGTCCCTTCTACAAAGCTTGCTTAAGAGAAATCGCAGTCGCGCTGACAGGCGGTGATAGAGAAAATTGCGCTATTGGGCCAATTGAAATCCGTCCTACCATAGGCGATAGCAGGAACATACATTTAAATGGCGAATATCAGAGCATTTCTACCATTAATAATACGAGTTCTTAGCGCGGCAGCATAACTATTGCTAAGATAATAGATTAGAGCGTAGGATTGGTACTTAGCAAAAGCGATTTTTACATCGTTAATAGATAGTTCAGGGAATACCTACTACATCTACTTTGGGCGAGCCTAAACTAGTCAACTTCCTATATTAACCGAGATCCAATCTGCTTAGATATTGAAATTAAAAGAGTATCGGATCTAGATCCGCGAATTCAGCTTGGAATTTGGGCCTAGGCAGCATACAACAAGAAGAAGGCCTACGGCTAGGATACTACTATGCCTGCACCTGCTATTGTTATCGACTAACATGTCTGGAGGGGTTACCTATTCTTTGGCTGGCGAGACGGAATTGTAAGTCTTACCCTTGCAATTCATGCTACGTATATTTTGTCCCATTTCTACCTTCTCCGGTTTTAGCTTTTCTGCCTTATCCCCCAGCTCTTTAGTCTTTCCCTCTCTACCTATAACTCGTATCCCTCGTAATCCTACAACACTAACTAACTAATTTTCTGACCCCTTAGATTATGCTCGGACCCCTCAATATTAGAAGCACGGCCGATAATCGTAGGATATAGCAAATCGTCCAGAAGATGTACGTTTTGATGACTTAGGCGGGGACGGATTATAGGAAATAGTTCGACGACAACGTTATTAAGAAAGCGAAAGAGGAGACGAGCAATATCGAAGCGGGGTAAATACCGAGGAGGAGGATAGCCAGGATGGAATAAATAGTGGGTAATACTAGTAGGTAGGAGAAGCACTCGTGGTATATAGGGAACGAAGTATGACTTGTGATGATAATAATCTTGTGGTTACTAGAGCAGTGAAGAGATACCAAGACTCGACGACTTGCACGGCTTTAAGCCTTTCTTTGCTCTTTCATTTGCAAGTAGTATGACAAGTTCATCTGAAGCAAAACTGCTGATCGCACCCTCAAGGCAGAATCGCAGATCGGAATCACCTTTTCTCACCGATTTTCATTTACGAGTACAACCAGCGCAAACAGTGAAGGTTGCCTCAACACCAAAGACGAACCATCCGCCGCATACCTTGAGTCGCTGGGCCTTACAATATTGAGGCTTCCAAAGCCCGTAAATACAGGAAAAGATCCAGGTTGTTAGACTGAAAAGGTATGCTCGTCGAGACTTCCAAGGAAGGATGGTCGAGGACGGATACGGTCTCTTTGAGACTCGGTATTTGACAGGCATTAATGCAACTCCAAACTTCTTGGATAATCATACCAACTGCTCAATTGATCTGATTACAATTTATATTCTGAACCACAAGCAGATTTTGTCGTATCATATATCGCTACCATATGATCCCACACTACTCTAGCTCGCTTCCCCCCTCTCGCATTCAACAGCGGAGACAAAGGGTATATTCGACTTCTGCACGCGTTCCTTCGATTTCTTATGCACGCAAGGCATGGGAGGCATGACGCCGACGAGGCGACTCCATCTCTTGAGCCGCCAGCCGAAGGATCCGGTGATTTAGACAATACTTGGAAGCTGGAGGATGAGGTCTTGTTAGTAGTAAGGAGGTGGGATTCCATTGGACTGGAATTGTCTGATGTTAGCGACAGTGACGGCCGCGAGTTGGAATTTCGTGCACATTGTGCTATGTCTGGGGCGAAAGCATATCATTTTTACCTTTTGCCTGGACCCCTCCTCCCTGTGCTTATCGCAGCCGTCCGTTCTGTCCTACGGTGTAATCATGCTTATCTGCAGCACGTCTTGGCCTGCGCCTTACTTCTTCCCTTGAAACTGATCTGCAGTGTCGGGACGCCCTTTTGCGCGCAATCGAAGCTGTCATTACAATATGTTCAATGGCGCCACGTTTGTGAAGTTTCAGGCTGTGTCTTCTTCGGCGGGATGCCGGGATCCGCAATATTGAAATTCAATAGCGGTCGTCCCTTGATGCTTCATGTATACGCAATCAGGTTGAGCGATGCTATATCGCTTACATGTTGAGGTGACAAGCCTACATTCTGATACTAGGTGGGCACCTGCTGGAATACGGATCTGCGTAGAGCATTGAAGGTAGGGAGAGAGGTGAAGTTGCAGATCATTCCCACCAGTAAGAATCATTATCCTACGTTTGAAATTGCAGTTGACGCACTCTGACTTAGTCCTACTATCATTGCTTAGCGAACTGGCACCGGCATGAGGAGGTTATTTGCTGTGCCCCCTTCTTCCTTTCCTTTCTTTCCTACTCCTTTTCTCTTCATAGCGTTCGTTTAGAGAGCGATGTGCTCGTTATTTTCAAACGCAAAGAGACTTTACAACGAGGCGCCCAACGAACGGGATACGGAGAGAGTGTGGGTAAAGGGAAACCGCCACGCGCTTTTTGCGCCTTCTACCAAATTTTTCCTCGCTCTTGGGCGAGATGTCCTCTGCGCTTGGCAGAAGCGGCAGCTTGGTTTTTCTGTTTTGCTTTAGTACGGGCTTAAGTCTGTCAGGGAGTAATGCAGTGTAGTACAACATATCTAGTTCTTACCCCTTTGAGCAGGAACGACCGGCTAGCGGCACTAGAGGCGCGGGTTATAGGCAAGATAAGCCTTTCGGCTATTATGACCTTCAGAAGTCTTGTAGTTGGGACTGAAGGAGGTACTCTCAAGCCTCCAATTAGAGGCGTGTTGTCAGGCCAGCCCAAGCTGAGATCTCCTCTAAGGATGACTGCATCACGCAGATAATATCCTTGTGCGCTCGCTTTCCCAAATTTTTAGATCACGATATCGATGTTTCTAATTGCAGATTCGCACAGTCGGTACTAAATGCTGGACTCTCAGCCTCAGAAACTGTTCAGGAATAGAAAAGCAACCTTCTCGACCGTCCATTGAAATTCTATCTTAGACACTTCATAGACAGTGGTCCATCATGTCTATTTAGCAAGGGTTTTCCTTTCTCTACTTCTTACATGCTGGCCTTACTGGCCTGTGATTCCCACATGCGTTAGCTGTCAAAGGATTATATGATATGCCGGCTACGTCGATGCGCCGAAGGAGATGCCACTACCAAACTTTCTCGCATGCAGAGGGACTTTGCTCATATCTCAGCACTTGACTTTACCTGTGCTCATGTCCATGTGGGTACTGTCGCTTGATTCGCGTCTTCTATGCCGACCACTTGTATTCCAACACTTTAAAATAACCACGGCCAACTCAACGAAGGCACATGCCTCACCCCACGTACCTTAAGATTGCCCTTGTACCTCCTATAGCCAGCTTCGACCTCTACATGCGATCTCCTCTCCAACTTACAATTCCATTCTAAATGGAATTGCTTTAGCCAGTCCTGACGTTGACGCACTACCTCCTCAACTTGGGATGCGTTTAATTGCCTCTGGTCCCTATCAGGAACCGGGCAGCCATTGGCATCCGTTCTGGCTAAGTGAAAAGCCATAAACTCGACCATTTTCTGGGTATGTAGCGCTTCTCTGAATATGATGTTTATCACGTCTTGATCTTCCTTGGCGTGGTTCATAGGGCCATGGATGGCCAAGTTGATCTCAGCCTCTGATCCGCGTGTATTCAAGCCCGTATCGAGGGTTGGAGGACCTGAAAGGGGTTCTGACGAAAGGAAGCGTTGAAGGATTTCGCCATGGTCGCCTGATATATTCTGACAGCAGATCTTCACGGGAATCTCAAAATTGATGTTGATCGTGTGACGAGTTGCTATTGGATCATAGAATGACCTAATGTTAGCGTTCACCTTTCTCTCGATCGCGCTCTCGTACGTGAAAGTGGTGCACTTCCTCATGCACGCTAATGCTTCTTGGCGGATTGGGCTTGACAATTTAAGGATCGTAAGGGGTTCACATTGGTGTGATCCACTGGTGATGAAGTATGGATCTCGATTGGAGGTTATTGGCCGATAGAAGTTGTGAGTGAGAAGTAGCGAGTAAATATTGTCGCGCAATTCAGGGGGAAGGATGCCTAACATCCCGTACGAGGTTGGTGATTGTGGCATCTTGTCAAGTCTTGTCCGTATGAAAATTAATAGGATGAATGGATCCTTTGTGGTGGTAATAATTCATATATAAGCACGGAATTTGACAACCTGCCAGTGTTGTACAATCTGTTTGTGCGACGTGTCTTCTTATTGTTCCTACTTCAATTTCATTCGCTGAAAGACTTCTCGTGGCTTTGGCACGGCCCCTAATGATAATAAGTAACGTGGCTCCCTTTGTCTCATCTGTGTTATATATTAGCTTCACATGACACCACTTTTCACTAAACATATGCGTTGTACCACTTGAACAGCTAGGCTATGGAATACTATTCTATCTATATAGTAGAACCAATCTGCGTAATCTCATCTTTTGCAGTGACATCACTGACTACATTGAAGAATTTTAAACGGAATATATAGCAGCGAAGAGCAAGTAATGTCGAACGAGACCAAGGTCTACATCAATGAGAGGATCAACGTACACAGCAGGCAGGGTGATAGAGGCGACAACGGTCCGCTAAGGAAGTTAGGTCTTAAGATAGCATATATATAGTCGATGTAAAGCTTTACTCATATAACGAACAATTAGCGGCGCCTTAAAACGACTTATCACATCCAAGCAAGCTCTTGATCCTATTAAATTGACTCGGTTTCATGGAAGGGAAAGGTGCAGGACGCGGTTGAGATGAGGCTTCTTGTGAGAAGAGTAGAGATGAATTGAAATTAAGCTGAGTGGGCAGGGAGGTTTTGACAGAAGAGGCGCTCACGACTGTCCCGACTTCATCGATAGTAACATCATTAAAGGTCCTACTGCTGGAGGATGCTGAGGATGGCAAAGGGTTTCTTGGCGGCAGCAAGTATGGCTAAATTCCATCTTGATCGCTTTGAGTCTGTCTTACTCATCCCTCCCCCTTCCTAACTAATGTCATCTTTTCCTCCCCTTCCGTTATCACCAAATATCAAAAGCCGGTGACCTCCCCTCTTATCCCCCACATTTTTTATCGAGAACCTTCTGCACGCCTTTTCGCCCCCTATTATATATCCCTCCGGCAATTTCTACACCTTCTTTGGAAAGCGGCTGAAAACATTAGTATGCAGAGTGCAGCGAACCCTAGGATCCGCAATCTCTTAACATTAAGCCACTTCTCAGTCCTGTAGATATAGATAACTTGATGGGCTTTCGAGAGCATATCGCCGCTTGCGACGAATTCTTCGAGAATCTCTGCTTCGCTGACTTTTCAGTTTTTGCGCGGGTGAGGATAGCGGGGGCGATGGTGATCGGGTATTCGGAGGATTTAGCGCGGAGGGTGAGGAGGGTTGGTGTAGGTGGTGGCAATAGCCGTAAAGTAGTTATTGTCGTTGTCGTTGTTGCTGGTGCTGATGGGTTCCCCGGTTGCGTATCGGGAACTTCGGATTCTGGGTCCTTTGCTCCATAGGCTTGTGGTTGTGTATCAAGGTCGGTGTGCTCTTCCGCTGGTGATGACGTGGTAGCCCGTTCCGCCATTCGAGATGGGGGTGGTCGTTCGTTTGGACGGCTATCGTGCTTTCTTGTCTTGAATTGGGTTATCCAGTGGAGGGATACAAAGTCTCTGCGGTCAATGTCTCTTTTCCGCTTCTTTCCGAAGTATTTTTGCGTTCATCTTGTGCTACCGCAGCAACTTCGGCCTCAATGGTTATAGCCTGCATTGCAGAAGGTGAATAGGAGTTTCCAACTAACTCGACAGCATTAATGTTGGGTTTCGCAACTCTATGACCTGATGGGCCCCCTCTTCCAGTATGAATCTTTGTTTCCGTGCGCTCTTCAGTCAATGCTGGCGAGCTTTGCGTCAAAGGGTCATGTTCAGGTTTCGCAGGTGGCCGCTACGCAGTGTTCTTCTCGGCTGCCAAGATTGGAGTGCCCTACTCGCTACCTATATCTTCAATTTGATTGCAAGGCTGGCACCTGAAAGTGCCGTGGGGCTGGATACTGCAGGTCGATGTAAGCAACAAAAACTTGCCAGCGACGGTAATTGTTGAAGCAAGATGGGGACTCACAAGTAGCTTGCGAATAGGTGAAAACTAATGCATATCATAATGATCATGGTGCTTCAATATCAAGAACTCTGTCGAGGGGTCAAATCCTCCTCAATGCGATGATTTCAGCAGATAGCAGCGAGGCTCCTGGATGCCATCCAGTTCCAAAAAGTAGCGATCATGACAGCGAAAGCGGCGAAGCCGGCCTCTCTCAAATTGAGCCAGCTGATTCAGGACCGTGAACCCTTAGGTTCTGGAGGCAAAGCGCCAAGACAAAAGAATTTGCGAACGAGTTCCACACCATTCCTCATCACTCAGTCCAATTGGCTACTTCTGTCAGACATTGAGGCAATGGATTTGTACGGCGGCAGCAAAATGCTCAAATAGTATACTCGGCTAAAAGGTCTAATAGGCTGCTATGTTTCTTGGTGTTTTACACAACACTACAGCAGCAATAGACGTTTTCCATGATGTGGCTGTCCATCGACGATCGACAGTCTGAACCGCAATCGAAAAGCTCCTTGACTTACCCTATATGGTGAGGCTGCCATACTCGGTAGTCAAATTCCTCGATCGGACTTCGCCGTCATTCCTGCAGTCACAACCAATGGCTCACAGTACGTAGTGGGTTTGCGCTGCGCAGCCCCAGACTGCGAATATCTCCGGAGCTTCATTTGCTCCAAGTACCAAGCTTTCTGATGACAGCTGCAGATCGTACACAAGTGCATTGGAGAACGACAGAAGGCTGGAAGCATGTTTGAAAAGAAGAAACTGATAGGTCGAAACCAGCTGCCAGGTCATGCACACCAATCTTGCATGCAGCCACATCAGCAGCCACAAATTGAGATTGCTGAATTCTCCGAGCCTGTCCGTGGTTGATTTCTAGATTAGGAAGCTGGCCGATCGTCAACCCCCGTATTTAAAGCCACATTAAATCGGCCAAGTCCACAGGGATCTGCGCAATGAGGAGCTCTGATTGGGTTCTCCCAAAGCCACCGACGCCGATCATATATCACACGCATGCCACTTAGATTTAGCCTCATGGACCGTGGTGACTGCATTAGTCACTGCATTAGACTTCTTTCGCATTCAGGAATTGCAACCACACGGCCACCAGGTGACTCGTTGACCGAAAGGAAATAGCGCCGACCGACTTGTGTTATCACCCTATATGGATTAGCGAGTCCAATTGGGATCAAATCTTATTTTCTTTGAGCTCAAGAAGGTAGTGTTCCAATCAAAACAAAGGGACACCCACTGTACGGGGACCAATGATCTTGAAAGCGTGCGAGACTTCACTACACCACAAGTATGTAGTCTCAAGCCACTGACGAGAGTATGCAATGCTGGTCTACTGAGGGACACATCCACTGTCATCAAGCTCTATCTCTTTCGCATTCGGACCGATCTATGACAACGCCGGGTCGCTACGAGTAGCCACCAGCCATTCGCTTAAGCCAGACCAATGAAGTCTTTCCACTCCATGGTATGGACGTCGGACTGCCTCGCGTCTCCATGGAGAGGTTTCTCAGGAAGGAAGGTGTCTGAGTAGACTCTAAGCATAAGTACTCCTTCATCCCCTTGCCTCCTTCAATCTCTTACATCCAAACAACTTCCTCCCCATAATCTCGACCCTACCAAAGAAAGACTCAATCCATCTCCCTTCCCCCAGCCACCCTCTACATATCAGCGCCCTCCATTCTTAATCGACTACCGGTACTCAGCAAGTGACAATGCATTTCCAGTCCCTAATTATCGGCAGCCTTGCCCTCCTCGCCTCTCCCTTCCTCACGATGGCGGCCCCATCCGCGCAATCCGACGTCCTTGAACCACGCGCCCCGCCCACCAACGCGCAGGTAGATACAGCAATCAAGAAAGGCGATTATGAAATTCAGAGTGTTAATGGAGTAGCTGATTCAAATGGTTGGGTTAGAGTGTCGATTTCCGTTTGTTTAGGTATTGATGTTGGTGTTTGATACACGGATATTCCTGGCGGTGGAGGGTCGGCTGAGATGTGGGGCTACGGCGATGGTGGGAGTTATGATGGTGAACTATACGTTAGAGTGGTGGTGGTGGCAAATGAGTATTAATGAATATACATGTATTCGTGCTCTGTAGTACTTGGTTACTAGAAAATTGAATCTGGAACTTCATAGTCTAAGGGGGAAACTTCGCGGATCTCCGTACGTCACTATATCTCGAGCGAATGAAATAAATTGGACTTCAATAAATATGTCTACACTGCTACTACAGCACAGGCAAGTAGAGAGGGATCTGGCGATTGGGTTAACGACGAAAGAGATATCTTTCGATGAAAATGTGACTTAGTCTAAAGCATAACGTGCTAGCACACTGAGCGCACCTCACAGCCTGCCAAAGACACACCCATCCGCTTAGACTACACCGATGAAGTCCTGTATCCTATCAAAATGGGCTGCAGACTGCACCTCACTAGTGCGCAAGTAATTCATTAAAAATAGGTGCTCGTAACTCATCCAAGTCCACAAACAATCTCGCATTCCCTCTCCTCTTTCCCAATCCCACAATCGAACATCCCTCTCCTTAACCTATAAGCACAACCTTTTCAAAGAAGAACCCTCTCATCAAATCGACACTATCAACCCGTCTCTACTCATATCCAACAGATCACTAATCCATACCAAGTGACCATGCATCGTCAAATCCTCCGTCCCCCCTTTCCCCTCCCTGCCCTCGCCCTCGCCCTCCCTATTCTCACTCTCCCCATCCCAGCACTTTTTCAGCACTACAGCCTGACTGCATCCAACCACAAGCCTAGCTAACAGAGCAGCGATAGATCGGGGCCCTTATTCTATTTCATCAATAGAGGTGTTTGCGGGCTTAATGGGGTGGTAAATGTAGCTGTGTCGATGAGGTATCTGATGAGTCATGGCAGATACACGGTCATTGGCTGTTGACGTTGACATTGATATGTGGTAAAGGGTTAGGTGAAAAGATTGGGAGGTGTACGGGAAGTCTGTGGGGAGGAGTGATTTGGAGCGTACTTTGCTTAGAAGGGGGGTGAAGGGGGGAGGTTGGGGGATGGATGTGTCTTAATAAGCACATGTTACGGTGATTGAATCATAGTATCAATGGTTCTTAGCATTTGTTGTTCACTTTATGTAGGTTCCTGACCACATACGGCATCACTCTAGGATGATATATTTAGTTTATAATGCTTGTCTGCTGTTCTTCACATATAACGTAGCGCTTGTCTAGGGAATCAGATGTTGAGGGGTTGGGGGTGCAGGAAAGTAGGCTATGATTGCCTTAACGCTAATAGTACTTATTGGTACTATGGGATATCCTATGATTGGCAGGCACAATATGTGTTGTTGAGGGGTTTGACGTAAAGATGAAGCAATACTAGCGTACTGTGAGGCGATCTGCAAGTCAAACCCGGCGCTTTCTTCGTACACAAACACCTTTGGTCTGAGATAGGCTGAGCACGCTCAAGCTTGATCATTTTGAGACCCAGTGCCGGCTGAACAGGCAAAAGGCACGTGATCGTTACAAAAGGCTGAAAACCCTTTCTTTATCTGGCATATTGGGGCGCTTCACACCAAGGTTGAGTCAGCGAATCTTCTATATATCTAGGCAGTCATTCCTCCCATGGTGCTTGCATTCATCCTTTAGCCATCTATTCCGCGTAACACCTGCATCCTTGAAAGAACAGAACATTACCCTCATACAAAACCCCTCCCAAATCTTCATTCATCCAACCAAAAGCCTACCCCCAACCCTCCCGCCCCTCTCAAAGAAGGAAAAGCGTCCTCAATTATTTCCGCCGGCCCTTCAGTCTCCTCCTCACCAATACCTCCGCCGCAGCAATATGTCAACCTTAGGCGGCCGCGCTCCCCCAGCCTCCTAAGATAACCTCAAACCTGGAGTCAGCTCTAAGAAGAGTTCGACTACAAGCAGCACCTTGTCGACTCTACTATCAAAAGTGATCTAGCTCTCGAGCCGGAAGATGAGGGAGTTTTTTGGAAAGGCGAGTCTTGAGGCTGAAGCCATTGTTAGCGTTGTTGGACCGGAACTTACGCATTTTATATTTGGGGCTGAATAGGGAGGGGGGGTGCGCATGGCGCATGTTGATGGGTGAAGGAGTGTTTGTGGGTCGACCCGAGGGGAGTGGGGGGATTCAATGCGGAGCCGTGTTTGCTCCACGGTGACTATCGCTAAACATGTAAGACTGTGCTTAGCGTCTCGTGGTCCTGTGTGTGGGCGGGTTAGAGTTGGCTGTCTATGGAGACAAATGCATTATGACTGCTGTGGCACTTTTAGCGATTGAACACGATTAAGTGTCTACCTTAACCACCTGGATATGATGTCTAATCTCCCTTTGCATATGACCTGGTATATATTAGCCATCCGCAACTTATAGTGAACCTTCCGGATGGTGTACTGGGGAAGGGCGTGATGCTGTCAGGCAGAGGGCGTAAGATACTCCCCATATTGCCTTGCGCTCTCGAC